TTTCATATCTCCTATAACGTTTCCTTCAATATCTCCTTTACTGTTCCTCTTAATCCTATCCCTTTACCTGATTTAAGTTAATTATATCTCCCGTTTATCTCCTATTTAACCTAATTCACATCCTTAATTTCTTCGGTAACATTTCCTTTACCGCCTCATAACATTCTCTTTAACATTCTCAACATGTTTAACACGCCTTCTTCCATATCCATTAACATTCTTAACATCCCCTTTAATATATCTTTATCCAATTAACATCCCTAATTCATCTGCTAATATCCCATTTAATATCTCCTTTAACATCGCCACTCTTTACCTCTCAATTAACGTCCTTGATCTCTTAGTTAAAATCTTTTTTAATATCTCCTCTCCGTATTCTAGGCTGTTATATCTATAATAGCTAGGCTCTTATATTATTACAAGTAATTTCGACACATCAGAAGTTTCAGAACGAGGCTCGTACTTGATGTCACGTGAGCGCTGACTCTGCAGCACAATAGACTGGGCACGGCGAACTTTCTTGTCCTCTCCTTTTCCTCCTTTGCCATTCTTCTCTACCGCATCTAATGTCTCGTTCTTTACACCTAAGCTCTATAAAACAAATACAACATTTTACAATAAACATATATTCCGGGTTTATTTCACGTGAGATTACTTTTTTTTAAATCAACTGAATTTCAATGATAATCTTGGCGGTACGACATTCAAGATTCCCGTCGGATTCCCATAATATTAGTTTAATTACAACATAAGCGCATAGTTAAGTAAGTAGTAATTATAAGTGTGACATTACAATATAAATGTTGTATAAGTTTTGCTACAATTTAACAATATAAGTGCGGTGGTTTGAAATCCTCTCTCTCCCTCACCCTCCCCTCTCTCTCCCACACCCTCTCCCGCACGTACCTTCAGCAGGTCTCCATACATTAGCTCCATGCTGTGTATCTTCTTGCGTAGATCCTCCTCCTCTCCCTCTACCTCTACCTTCTTCCCCTCCCCCTCTCCCTCACCCTCACCCTCCCCTCTCTCTCCCTCTCCCCGCACGTACCTTCAGCAGGTCTCCATACATCAGCTCCATGCTGTGTATCTGCTTGCGTAGATCCTCCCCCTCACCCTCACCTCCCCTCTCTCTCACCCTTCCCTCTCTCTCCCTCTTCCGCACGTACCTTCAGCAGGTCTCCATACATCAGCTCCATGCTGTGTATCTGCTTGCGTAGATCGTCAACCTCGTCCGACTCGCCGCTGCCGGACATGTAGTTACTCGTCGTGCTGTTGTCGTCCGTCGTGCTATAGTAAAGCTGCATGAACTCTGGCGACACTGCGCAGTCCAGCGACGACATGCCTGCGTGACAACACGACACGGCCATCAGTCTCCGCCATCGCTTACACACGCGCGCGACGAGTCATCATGTCATTATTGATTATTGTGCTGCTGTTTTAACATGTATTTAAAATTGTTTAGTTTGAGAGAAATAGAGGAGAAGGGATGGATTGAGGGAGAGGGGAGAGAAAATGGGATGATAGAAGAGAGAGAGAGAGAGAGGGGGGGAGAAGAGAGAGGAGGGGGAGAAGAGGAGAGAGGAGAAGAGACAGGAAGAGAGTAAAAGAGTGAGAGCTAGAGAGAGGTGGAAGAGAGAGAGACGTGAGGACGAAACGAGAGAAGAGCGAGAGAAGAGCGAGAGAAAGAGAGAGAGAGAGAGAGAGAGAGAGAGAGAGAGAGAGAGAGAGAGAGAGAGAGAGAGAGAGA